ATATTGAATTATGTATTATGTGCAAAGTAAAAACATTAAGAAAAACCTTAATATGATAGAGTTGCATGAAAATATTTCCCTCATAAATTAGATTACCCTAAAGCAGATAAATGCACATATTTCTTAAGAAGTTAAATGAAAAATCAAATACATACTGTTCGAAAATGGCTACTGAGATGGTCTAGCCTGCTAAATCTTTTCCCACAGGCTTGGCATGGATAGGGCCTTTCTCCTGTGTGACAACGAAGGTGGCGCTTTAGGTCTGCTTTCCGCTTAACAACGTGTGTGCAATATGGGCACTTGAATCGCATCCTGGGCAGATCACCTGTCAGGAAACAGTTTGATTAAATCACTGCAAAGTTCATAATCACAATTCTAATTAACAAAAAGAATCCAGGAGTTGCTGAATCCAATCTTGAAAAGGTAGGAGAAAAGCAGAAGAAATTGTATTAAGACTAGATCGTCAGTGTAATCCTAAGTACAGAACTATAACTTCAGTATTTGAGATATTTCCAAAATCTGGGTAAATTTAGACCGTCACACTTCCCTTTTTATTAAATGTCACAGGGTCAATAGATATTAAACATAAAAAGGTAATGCTGGATTTTAAAACTACAGACACGGTCCAAAAGTACTTAATATTTAAGCTTTTAAGTAACTTGTTTTATTTACATGTTTTGAGTCCCTTGCCTTTATTTTTCATACACTTGTACTACTTTTAAAGGTGAAACAATTTCAAGGATCTTTAATTTTTTATTTTAAAATGTATGTATTCAACATATGCTTGGAGGCAAACCTCATCAATTTAAGAGCTGTTAATTCAGCTGTTCACTATTGAAGTTGGATTGAAATAACCTAGAATTATAAAAGGGCAGACCCCAAATAAAGAAAGGATAACTTCATTGCTGTTTTAAAATGCAACAAAGATTTCTCATTTTTGCTGTTATTTCTGTTTGCCTCGGTCGATGGTTAGAGCTCAGCAGGATTTTCAGTCAGGTCTATAATATGATACAATTTCATATATTTTCATGTTAGTATCCTACAGAAAAAATGTGATTAGTAAAAATCAATCAGGTTGTTATTATTTAAAAATGTTATCTAGTGTCCTATGAAAGGACAGAAGGTTAGCACTCCCCTGACAAGACTGGAGGAGGCCCTTGGGCCTGACAACACACATACAGTTAAGGCATTGCCACCTACTTCGAGCATCTAACCATTAAAATATATATATATATATGTTATTGACAACCAAATTTTTTGAGATTTATAAGACAACAGGGGAATGTGAATACTGACTGGCTATTTAGTGCTATTAAGGACTTGTTAATTTTGTTTAGGTACAACAATGGCATTGGAGTTTTTTGGGGTTTTTTGAAGACTATATTTTAGGAACATATTCTGAGATATTTATATACAAAAACATATAATATCTGAGATTTGCTTTAAAATGATAAAGGGCAGGGCTAGAGGTAGAGGTACAAATGAAACAAGGCTGGCCATGACTCGAAAGTTGTTGGGCTGGGGTCATGGGTGCATGGAGGTTAATTATACTATTCTCTTTACTTTTGTATATGTTTGAAGTTTTTCTAAATCTTATTTATAATCTAAATCTTATACTCTGCAGGAGTTTCATTTTATTATAATTTTCCTTTAAATTCACATGTAAACTATTAAGCAAATTTGTTAACTGATTAATTGGGGGAAAAAAATTGGATGCTATGCATTTCTAGTCTGTTCTCTATTTCTATCTTTCTTAGTCTTAAGGGCACGAGGGGAGGGTTTCTTTGAAACTATCAACCTACATAATCTCTCTGCATTTTACTATCATAAAAATGAGATATCTCAAGTTGTTGCACATGAATTACAGTATCAATGCAATGGGTTGTATGTTAAGTATTTGTAAAATTACTTATATCTTAATGAATTCAGAGTTAGTCTAATTTCTTTTGGATACTGGATCTGTGAACCATTGCAAATATGCATGGTTGCTCTATTTAACTTTTCTGTATAAAAATATTCCTCCCAGTGAATACTCAGAAAAAAAAGAAACTATTTAAAGTGAAATCATGTGTCTTAGGGGTTGAATCATTTAGAACTTTAAACATTTAATAATAATCTAATCATCCACAGATAACGGTTTGGAAAACCATGGGTTTTGACCCTTAGAAATCTATTCTTTTGGCTGTCATTAAATTTATCCAATATTACTTCTAATTTTAAAAAATTTTAATTTGTTTTATGAAATGAATTTTATTGGAGAAGAACGGCTTTTAAAAAAAATCACTTGGTTCAACAGCTCATAACACCTGAAAGTCAAGTTACGTTAAGATAGGATTGATTGGAGTATTCAAACATGAGTGAGGGGACTGATACTCTTTTTGGGTACCTGGAAAACTTCTTGACATGACATCAGATCCTTGACCATACTGATAGCTGACAGGAGCTGAGTCCGCTTCAGCATCCATTTGTGCTTGTTCTTCAGATTGGGAAATATGGCCAGAAGAATCAGATGTTCGTGCTTCTCGTTTGCTTGACTTATAATGAGCAATTTCAGATGGCTGTGACAACCTCAAATGTTTGGACTTTTTAATGGAGTCTTTCCTTTGTTCATGCTTGGCCAAGGGTTGCTGAGTATTCCTTTGGGAGGCTGGATGGTAATTATACTTATTCCAAGATTTTCCACTTATGACACCTGTTCCTTGGTCTGAGCTTAGGTGAGAATGTGGAGAGCTGCTTTCTTTTTGCCAGCTACCACTATACAAAGAGGAACGTTCTAGACCATTAGAATTGGCATCTTTATCAGAGAGACTGAAGTAGCGATCTTTTTCTTTCTCACTAATGTCTAATGAAGATTTAATAAAGGTCTTACATACACTAATGACATCAGTCATCTGAAGGAAGCTGGCAGCTGACATCACTTCTATGACATTCTGACCAGTGAGCGAGAGTTTGCCGGAATAGACGAAGTCCAGGATAACTGTAAAAGTGTCAGGGGAGAAAGCCTGAAATGTGGCTGTGGTCGGCTGACTTGTCTCCTTTGAATTCTGAGAAAGAAGCATTTTAAAGTAGCCACTGCTAGCAAACAATACATTTCTATGTGCTTTGAAGACCTTCCCTTCAACTAGAATGCTGCAATCACAAAACACATCTTGCCGGCGCTGCTCATTCAGTTGTTGCAGGAGGTGAGACTGATGAGAGGAGATCTCCATTCTAAAGAGGAAAAGATACACGTGGTTACCAAACACGAAGTAACACTGTTTTCCTAGATGAGTCACTACAATAATGGAAAACGCTTTCTTCTTCTTAGAGAATGTAGTCTCCAAGACACAGAGGATAACAGATTTCAGAATACCATTTAATAGTGTGCTATTAGTTATTAGACTTTTAGATGATTATTTGTTTAGATGCCAAACTTCGAGCATCTTCTATAAATCAGGCCTTCTGCTGTATGCTGAACTAAACAGGCTTGATACTTGCCTTCATGTCGTTTTCAATCTAGAGAGGGTATCAGGCATTAAACGAATACTCATATGAAGTAATAAATGAAAAATTAAGTGCTAAGATGGGAAGAGGATGCTATGAGTCGTATCAAAGGGGAAACTAGTTTAGATTGGGATAGAGAAGGATAGGGAATCTCTAACATTTAAGCTGAGACCTCAAGGATGACCAGGAATTAGCCAGGTGAAGAATGAAGAATGATTCTAGCAAAACGGTGGTCTGCAGAGTGTTGAAACTTTCCTGCCACAAATCTCTAGAGATGCTGGCTGAAATTTAACCAAAGCTTTTTAAATGTATGGCTGTGCTTGCAAGAAAGAATAAGAAATCCATAGATGCCAGAGGTGGAGAGGGAGCAGAACCAGAACAGTGATGAGGGTTTTTATCAGTAACAGAAGTTGGAACCTTGTAAAGACCACAACCTTAATGAAAAGGGACACGTAAACTTTGCCCATAAGTCCAGGGAAAACGTCAAGTTTGTCCTTGCAGGGCCGTAGTTGGGAAAAAAACAAACTGTCCCTAGTTGAGATATCAAACCCTAGGTTGTGCCTTGTGAGGTTCTGGAGTCCAAACTTTTTTTTTAAAGATTTTATTGGGGAGTTGTGGGAGGGGAACAGTGTTGCAGAATTGGGGAAGAGGACCAGCCAAGTTGTTTTTCTTCAATCTTCGTTGTGGAGGGCGCCAGTCGCCATCTGGCTTCCCATCGGCAGCTCATGGCCTCTAAACTCAAGGTGCTGTGCTCAATCTTAGTTGCAGGTGGGCGTAGCTACCATCTCATGCGGGAGTCGAACCAGCAGCTTTGTTGTTAAGAGCGTACGCTCTATCCACCGGGCCATCCGGGCGGCAGCTCAGCTCAAGGTGCCGAGTTCAGTCTTAGTTGCACATGGGCATAGCCACCATCCCACGCAGGAGTCAAACCCGGCAGCCTTGTTGTTAAGAGCACATGCTCTATGGGGCCGGCCGAGTGGCGCAATGGTTAAGAACTCGCTTGGGATGCCAGAGGGCCCTGGTTCGGATCCCACATATGTGGGCCAGTGACACTGCCCTCTACAGCTAAGATGCTGAACAACAGCTCAACCTGGAGCTGGGCTGCCATGAGTCGCCGGCGACGGCATAGGCTGCAGTCCCTGTGGCAGTGGGTTGCCATGGGCTACCGTATGTAGCCAGCAGCCAGCGTGAGCGGCCAGCAGCCGCAGTGAGCGGCCGTCCAGAAGCCGGCGACTGATCTGCCTCGCCAGAGAAGAGCGCAATGATGGTGCCAACTTGGGCCAGTGAAGCAACATCCTCCACAACTAGATTGAAGAACAAGACGACAGCAACTTGTCTGTTCCCCTTCCCCCAATTCCCCAGCACTGTTCCCATTCCCCCAACTCCCCCAATAAAAATCTTTAAAACAAACAAACAAACAAACAAAAAAACCTACAAGGACCCTTGCTCCTGTGGAGCTTACGTTTAAAAAAAAAAAAAAAGAGCACATGCTCTATCCACTGAGCCATCTGGGCAGCAGCTCAGCTTAAGGTGCCAAGTCCAGTCATAGTTGCGGGTGGGCGTGGCCCATCATTGAACAGGCAATCTTGTTGTTACACCAGCTGAGCCATCCTGCCACCTGCTGGCAGCTCAGCAGCAGCTCAGCTTGGGCGCAGCGTCACTGGCCCATGTGGGAATCAAACCGGCGGGCCTATTGCTCAGAGCTCGCGCTCTTACGCCAACTCTTAACCAACTGAGCCACTTGGCCGGCCCTGGAGTCCAAACTTATTTTACCTGATTGGTGTGGGAAACCTCAAGCTGAAAAATTAACATGAAAATTAGTCCTGGGCTGGTGGTGCCCATGGGTCATCTTGCACAAGCAAATGCAAAACGGCTCAGGAAGGATGCTCTCAGAACCCAAGCCAAGTGGGAAATAAGCTCTAATTAAGTTGAACTCAGAATCATTCCCCTCTTTATACAAAATGGATCATTTCTAATATCGTATTACCATGATGTCTAATATCTCCTATCATAAAATCAAACAAACAAGCAAACCAAACCTCCGCTTGATTTCACATCTACCTCTGGCTACTACTCCATTCCTCTGTTCCCTTTCCACAAAATTCATCACAGAGTTTTTTGGTTGTTTTTTTTTTTCATTTGCTGTCTTCACGTCTCCTGACGTTCTTGCTTGAAACCATTCTAATCAGGTTTTCATCCCCATCCATCAAAACCATTTTTTTAAAATATCACTCGTAACTTGCATGCTGTTAAATCCAGTGGTTATTTCTTTGTCCTCGTTTTACTTACTCAGTACATCATCCGCTCATCCTAAAACACTTTCTTCACCTGACTGTCAGGACACGGTTCTTTCATGGTTCGTCTACTGACCACTCCTTCTCAGTCTCCATTGCTGGCTCTTCGTTTTCCTAACCTCTAAATGCTGTGGGATTGAGGACACGCTACCCCAAAATGTGGCACCTTGGCATATTCGGTATTTTGAACTGAAGGAGTTAGAGAAAACAGCAGAAGCAGGAAGGTCACTCTGACATCCCCCACCCTTCTCCCCTGCAACAGGTCATAAAACCCTCCTATGTGCGAGGTGCCCTCCCTAGACCCAGAGGAAAGGTGCCTCCTTATCTCAGAAGAAAAAGCAATGCTCACAAGAATCTGAACCAACAAGCTTTGCTGAGTTTCTCCCAGTTTACTAAACTTACCTCATACTCCTTAACCTACCATATGCATAAATATATCCCCCATGCATAAATATACTCAGGTTTTACTATTTCTTCATTTCCTTATGAAGGTTTCTGTGTCACATAAGACTTATATTAAGGAAATTTGTTTGACTTTCCCCCGTTAATCTGGTTTTGTCAGTTTAATTTTTAGATCCAGTCAGGAAGAGGGTCAAGGAAACTTTTTTCTCCCTTACAACTGGAATGCCCCAGGCTGTGGGGCTCAGACATCCTCTCTGCCTATATCATTCTCTAGGTGAGCCTGCCCAGTCTCATAGTTTTAAATACCATCCTTCAATTTATGACTCACAAATTTACATATCTAGCCCTCGACCTGTTCCCTGAACTTCAGACTCACATGTCTGTTTACCTGCATCTCTGCTTGGATGCTTACTAGGTATCCTAAGCTCAACAAATTAAAAATCACGTTCGTCATTCACCCTTATCTTAAACCTGTCTTCCCTACAGTATTATCCAACTCAGGAAATGATAACTGCATTCTCAGTTGTTTAGACTAAAAACATTGAGTCATCTTTGACTCCATGTTGTCAGCTTTATATGCAAAACAAACCCCAAATCCTTACCCCCTCTCTCCACTACTATTACCATCTTGATCCAAGTCACCATCACCTATCTATCATCAACAGCCTCTTAACTAGTCTCCTTGCAACTTCAGTCGAGTCTGCATACAGCAGCCAGAGTGACCCTTCTAAAACATAAGTGAAATCATGTTACTCCTCTGTGCAAAACCCTCCAATGGTTTCCCATCCAACTCCGCAGTTCTTCTTATGACCTAAGAGGCCCTACATGACCCACTCCAGGTACCTTTCTGCCCTCAACACCTCTGCTCTACCCTCACACATTGCATTCCAGCTGTAAGGACCTCTGCTTGTTCCTGGACATTCCAGGCATGTGCCTGCCATGCAGCCTTTGCACTAGCTGTTCCCTCTGCTTGGAAAGTCTTCCCCCAGATATACACATAGCTCACAATGTCACATTTTTCAGGTGTCTTATCAGAGATGCTTCCCTTTACCATCCTATTTAAGCACCCCTTCTCCTTCTCTCCCTTTGTTTGTGTATTGCCTATTTTCTCCTACTAGAATTTAAGGTCCGAAAAAGCAGAGACTTTGCCTGTTTTGTTTACTTATATACTCCCAGCTCCTTGAACAGCACCTGAGCACACAGTAGATGCTCAATGTTGTTAAATGAATAATTCAAATGTTAAAACATACAAGGAAATCATTCTTTATAAAGAAGAATGAGCAGGCATACAAACAGAAGAGTTAGAAACCCAAGAATTTCAGAAAATAGAATAAAAACCTGACAGTATGTTTAAAATGGTCAAAGAGATAAAAGTTGACATAGACCAGCACATAGTTATAAGCAGAGACACTGGAGCCAGGTAGCTTGATTTGGAATTCTAGCTCCACTGTACACTGTAGACCAGTCGAGTTGTCAGATAAAATTAACCACCACACCTCTCCAGCAGATAGTTATTCTCCTTTTGAAAAAGAGCTTTCGGGATGCTACCAGGCCCTCCTGATGCTGGCTTTGGGACACCATGTGGCCACGCCTGAGTTGCCTATCATGGGTGTTACTAATGCACCAAATTATACCTTTGGCATGTGCAGCAGCACTCCGTCATCAAGAGCAAGTGCTGTGTTGGGCCGGCCGAGTGGCGCGATGGTTAAGAACTGGCTTGGGACGCCAGAGGGCCCCGGTTCGGATCCCACATATGAGGGTCAGTGACACTGCCCTCCACAGCTAAGATGCTGAACAACAGCTCAACCTAGAGCTGGGCTGCCATGAGTCGCCGGCAATGGCGTAGGCTGCAGCCCCTGTGGCAGTGGGTTGCCATGGGCTACCGTAATTAGCCAGCAGCCAGCGTGAGCGGCCAGCAGCCGCAGTGAGCGGCCGTCCAGAAGCCGGCAACTGATCAGCCTCGCCTGGGAAGACAGCAATGATGGTGCCAACTTGGGCCAGTGAAGCAACGTCCTCCACAACTAAACTGAA